TATAGGGACTTGCAATGCAAAAAAGTTGTCTTGAGCAACAAACATGGGGATTTGCATGCAATACTAGGGGGTTACCAAGAAGAATGTTGATGTGATACATGGTGAAGTCAATAGTAGATACATACAATGTGAGGCCCCCAAGATAGCTAAGTTGGTTTATAACTCCAATAACTATGGTTTATGGTATTTATAACTATAGTTACTGGGGCTTATAAACCAACTTACATCTTGGGGGCCTCACATTGTAGGTAATATTTGGGAAAGGCCCAAACCATCCCTAAATTGTTGGGTACACATCTTTTGACTGACAAAGTTTCCTAATTACAAACGTGCTTACTTGGTGGGTTGACTTTTCGCAGTGTAGAGAAATATCAGATTCCTCTCATTCCACTGAAACTTTTATTTGGAGGATCAAAATTCTAAACCCATCAAAGAGGAGGGTTCTATGTATAGTAAACATGACCAAAATGGTGGGTCCGTATGTTTTCTGTTCTTGACCGCTATGGATTCTTGAGGGATACCCAATGCATTCCAATGCCATGTTTGCAGTCCAGCCTCAACGACAAAGCCTGACGAAACATGAAATAATGGTTGGGATTGGGAGAATCCACAAATGGCCGAACTTTTCAGATTGGTGAACTATTTAGATTTATCCATGACCATATATATATATATATATTATATTTATATTATTATATTATTATTATTATTTATTATTATATATATATACATATTTACTGTATACATAAATTCCGATATCATGCATGGTCATCCTTGGTTAACATTATATAGTTCTTTTCACCTAATACTAATTGTTGACCAGCCACCAGTATTTGGTATATAGATATGGGGTAAATTGTAGTGACCTCACTGGAATCATGGTTAAGAAATGGGGAAACATCATGAAACATCCCCAAATAGCATTATTTCAGGTTATATATATATTATATTATTAATATATATATATATTATTATATGTTTTTTTTATAATAAATATACATATATATTTTATATTATATGTATAAATAAATATATATATATATATTATATACATATATATATTTTTTATATTATATACATATATATATATATATACATACATATATATATATATAATTATGCCCAAGTTACAATGACCTCATTGGCCATTGGTCGACCTTACCGCTAAAAAAATGACGGTGGCCTTGCACAAACATCCCATCATCCCCCTAAAATGACGACTCGAAGTTTTACAGTTTGAGAACAATCACCATTTGCCCAATGTGTTTTTGGTGTGTATATATGTATATATACCTGGTTGGCGGTTTGGAACCTTTTTTATTTTTCCATATATTGGGAATAATAATCCCAACTGACTAATATTTTTCAGAGGGGTTGACACCAAGGCTTTGTGGCCCAAATTGTCCCCCCGCTGATTCGTGACATCGGGTTTTTGGGATTGCGCCATAGCCTCAGTGGGCACTGTTTGTGCGGTTGCCCACGGGTTCGACTGTAGTGAACCTTGCTTTGCCACAAGCACTGTCTTTCGATAGACTGACTGTTGGCTAACAACTCAACCTTGGTGATTTTTGCAGTGTTGATTCACATTTGACCTGTTTACCTCCATCGATTTTTATCTGTTGGTAACTCTCATCTACAACTCTGCAATCCCGGGTCTTCAACAGGCTTCTGCAAGTGAGCCATATCACTTGGACCATAGGAGTCCCAGCTCCTGAAAATCCTGGGTCATTGCCCCCTGGTGCGTGTGCAACAAATTTTTGGTATTGTTGGCGCGGACTGGACAATATACAATTGTGGGAAATCGCAATTTTTTCTTGCGTTACAACCTTTTTCAATTTTGAGCTTGATTTGGGCAATTTTTCACTGGTTCTGCGCTGGCCATACAGCGGCCCTACATTCAGGTTCCAGGGGTGAGCTCCCTTTGTATTCTGACTGGCTCAGTGGACACGTGGATGATTTCAGTATTGCATACAATTGCAATCTTTTACATCCTTTTCACTTTGTTGGCAGACTACGTACAGCTGCATCCCCTGATTTTGAGTGAACCACTTCCTAGCGACAGCTACGACAACTGCTACTCGAAGAAGAGCAGAAAGGCGTGGCAGAGCAAAGGCCAGGTTGACTTGGTACCTGCACAGGAAAGGTATACAGGTTGTTCCAGCTTGGAAACTTGCTATCCATCTACAAAGGTTGAAGAAGCACCACTCCCACGACCCAGCATTTACAGCCAGAGTCGAAAGAGCAATGGCGACAGATGCAATGAGTCCTTGGAGATGCCAAACCTGCAAGAAGGTATGCAGTGCAATGCACCAGTTTTGCGGTGTATGTGGGGTCTCGTGGCACCTGTGCTCAGACCCAACATTTCAACCACCACAAAGGAATCCCAGAGCGCAACGGTCGGTCTTATGGAGCTATGCGACAGACTGGTCAGCTCACGATTGGGAAGAATCGCAATGGGCACAAACTCCAGCAGACAGCAATCAATGGACAGCATCTCCACGGAGAAGAACGTCCTCCAGACGCAAACCCTCCAGGAAAGCCAAGCCGAAAGAGCCCGAGCAACAGAAGGGACCAAAAGGAAAAGGGAAAGCTGGAATACCAGAGACAGAACGTTTCGGCCCACCATACCTTCCAGCAGCTGCAGCAGAGCCTCCATGGTTGTCATCCATGAATACGATTGCTGCAGCAATGCCACCGCCTGCGCAAGCAACCACAGAAGACAAGCAGCTCAAGACCATCATGGCGGCCCTCAAGAAGCACAGCGAAGCCTTGCCACCGGAGTTGCAAAGCATGGTCAACGAAGCTGCCATCAAAGAAGGGCAGCAACAAACGAAACAGTTGCATGCTGTGGTAGCAGCACATGGGAGAGCCCGCAAGGAGCTCCAACAGGCTCAGTTGGCACGGTTCCACCTGCACAATGCATGGCGTGGTTTCCTGAGTCAAGCTGTGACTCAGTGGCAGGGGTACAGTGCACAATTCCTGGACCAGGAAAAGCAGATGAACGAAAGAGTGACCACAGCTATGGAAGCCTTGGATCAAGCCAGAGAAAGCCTTGCAAAAGCCAAGTCCACAGCTGGCATAGAAACCAAGGAAGATGCCATGACGGTCAGCGACGAGGAGCCAGAGAAGGACTTAGCAGGACCAACGGCAGACAGGATAAAAGAAGGTCTGACAAACCTGCAAACAAGTTTGGAAGCTCTGCAAACATCGGCAGAACAGATGGTCGAAGACGAGCAGAAAGCACTGAAAAGACCTCGATTGGAAGAGAACAATCAGGATACAACTGCAAAACCCTCAGACTCGCGTGCCTCGCTTCCGGGGTTTGGTTAGGCCGAGTTAATAACCAACAGGTGCCTATTGCTCTATGGCCTTGCACTCATGAAAATGAAGTTGCTCCAATCCTCCCCAAATGGCTCCACACAGTTCAAAGTGAACACAATTTTGTTTCAGAATGGCAAGCATGTGACGCAGCGTTTCACCTTGCAATCGAGGTTGGCATTTTGTCACCTCCTCGTATCATGCGTTGCCAGAGGTTCAATCCACATGGCACCTATAGTGCCCATTGTGACGATGCAGTTTTTGACTCATTTGCAATGTCAAATCGCTTTTGCACTCCTGATCATGCGAAGTCCATGACCAAAAAGCAGTTGGTTAGTTTTTCTGACGTGCTGTGCATCAAAATTGGAGATGATGATAGTCAAGACTTTCATCAATTCGAAGTGCATGTTGATGCCATGAAATCACCGCTCAAGCCATGGGCGTTGACCACTCCAGCCAACTGCAGTGAAGCAGAGCCACACCCAGCATCCGTCTCCCACATAGGCATTGGTAGTGACCTTTCTCCGCCGTGCACTATGACTGTACAGAGCCAAGTAAGGGGTCATGACACCCGCAAGCATCCGCAGCAGTCGACCGTCAAGGTGTCTCAACTGCCTAGCCCAACCTGTTTGAAGGCCGAAGTGTTTTCTCAGTTTGAAGGTGTAGGTGATAGTGTGACCCTGACTCATCCTCAACAGGATGGGTTCGATTGCAGTTCTGTTCATTGCGATGGTCATGTACACAGCATCTCTGTTTATGAAATGTTGTCCCATTTTGACCCCTCCGGTTCCAGTACACAAGTCCAAGCTTCATGCAATCATAACAATTTTGATGGTGAAACCAATTTTGCTAGTTTTGATTGCACAACAGTGGTCCCCCAAACTCAAGATAGTTTGAACAGCTATCACATGAACGGCTCCCATCAGACCACGAAACAAAGTGACAATCATCTTTGCCATGACGCCACTATTGCACTTGCTCATGCACAGAATGTATTGCTCCAGGAATCACATGGTCACTTTTGCAAAGCCCTTGATGCTGTCCAAAACCGGCTGAACATGCATCCGGTTGTACAGCTGGCCGAGGCACACAGCTTGAGCTCCCGTAGCAGAATGATCACAGGTAAGCCAAGTACTGTTGCATATGACCGCAGATGCATCCACCACAAGAACCTTGGTATTCCTCAAGGAACAAAAGATCCGGAAATATTCTTCATGCGCCAAATAGGCAGTGTTCAGCCAGCCATCATTCAGGCACGCCTTGAGCATGAAAGCCCTCTCCCCCCATTCCTGAGAAATAACCAGGATGAAAATGACCCAGATGATGAGGACATGGACCCACCTGATCGTCCAGTGCTGCCCTGGTTTGTAGTCAACCTAGCCAACAGAATGGAAAGAATTGGGATCAACCCATACGACAATGACTTTGACTTGGCTGTGCGCACTTGGTACATCGATCATAGAACCATTCATCGCTGGACAGCACCAAGGCTTTTGCAGCTTGTTGGGCCCCCACATGGATGGGAAGCACAAATCCAATCAATCTGGATTGACCAGATCAACACAGAGGATTGGTTCGATGTGGTCATAATTGAACCTGACCCCCCACGGTTGGCCCAACATTCATTCGTTGTTTATGACATGGTAGTCACACAATCCTTGGAACTACCACGATACTCTGCCATGGTCACGGTCCTGCCAGGACAAACAAACACCTTCTCGATGTTCTCGGTTGCCTGCTCCTTACCTGAAATGGTGGGAGGTTTTGACCTCATCCAGGCAGCCGATGCAGGACAACAATGTCGCTTTGCAGATTGTTTGATCACTCATCGATGGATTCAGATCCCCAACACATTGGGTCCCACCCACCGTGTAGGGCAAGGGGATGGATACCAGATTGTAGCGCATGCTCTCGCACAAGGAACGGGTCGCAGAAATGCAGATGACACCAGTTCCTCAGATGCCATCACTGCCAGCCCAAGGTATTCACCTGGCCGGCACTCACAACCGTCTTCCAGTCAGCAGCCGGCACGTTTCACAACAGTGCTACACCTGTTTCAGTTGGACGGTGTCGAAGTTAGCGTCGCCATTGTTAATGATCAGCGCATTCAACCCACACAGGAGATTGCGGCTGCACTTAACATTCCGTTTGACTGCCTGGAAGCGTTGCACGTCATGCCACACTGCCCATACCAGATCCCCGAGTATGAGATTTCAGCAGTTGTACAGCGCACTGGTGACTTAGCCATCCGTACCACTGACAGACTGTTGTTGGTTGATATCATTTACCATCACCACCCATCCAGTGAGGGTATTGGTCATCGTCCCACTGTCATCAGGGAAGTTCAAAGAGTTGGGCACCAGATCCTGAGACAACAGATTCTCCTTGCTGCAGCCGTGCATCACTATTGTCTTCATGTAGCATCCGATTGTGCAGTAACATTGGACTCCCAACCCTGGCCAGAGACTGATGTGATGCCTCGACCAGTGAGGCATGGATCGTATGCTCAAGTAGTCGTGCCGCCACCTGCCACACATGATGTTCCAACTCAGACAGCAGTAGAGGTTGCCAGACAGATAGCAGAAGAGGATGCTGACATCAGAGACCTGGTGGGTGACTCAGATCTAAGCGATGACACGTCCTTAACACAAATTGCCATCACATCACGACCCAAAGGGTTCTGGATTGCGAAGTTACCCATTGACGTTGATCATATCCGAGCAAGCACGTCTGTGGACCAGGATACCTGGTCTAAGCAGTCTCTGCAACTTGCTGAACCAGTGGTAGCGGTACTGCAGGTTAAACCTGATCTGAACCCCCACTCCAACAGGCCAGTCACTGCACCCATGACAGCCCACACTCCACAGAGTGGGAAACAGCATCCCACAGCGTGTACACCCAACTTGGCATGCTTTGTGGACACAGTGTCAACCAGTGACTCACCTTTGGCAAACCACACGCAAGATGAAGGACCCACAGGTACGCATTCCGCAGTAACAGCCCAGTCCATGTCCCTGTCACACACTGACCTTCAGCATGGCTCCATCAGTGCGTTGTCCACCCCAAGCAAGCAGACCAAGCTTTCGCAGTTTTTCCCAAAAAGAGGTGTTCAGAAAGCTCCTAAAGGACTGCAACAGACCAAGATTTCCAACTTTTTTGCCACCAAGCTCAAAGAGCCCAAACATGATGCAAACTGCGTGGCCACAGGTACCTTGGAGCCTACAGGTATGCACACTCCAGTTTTGCAGGATGAGCAAGCTCAAAGTGATCCAATAGCGATGCCAGGTGACAGGCCTGCGCACCAATGGCGCACTGGATTCCAGCACGAGGCTGAGCCACCACAGTTTGAAACCAGGGTGCCTCCCCCGCAGCAACAAGCACAGGGAGGACCACAACCAAGGCCATCCTGGCACATTGAGCTTCATGCCATCTTTCAAGAGCATGCCACCGTCCAGCATCGGGAGACTGGCCCAGAAATGTCGGTGGAGGTGTGGTACGTCCACCACACTAACATGCCGAGATGCAACGCACCTCGACTCATTAGGCTTGATGATGTTCAGGAGCTTTGGTACGCGGACTTATGCAATGCCTGGTTTGACCAGATCCAAAGGCTCCAACCCATTCGGATTCATGTAGTCAAACCTACGCCTGCCTATCAGCTCAGACCTCAGGCCATTGTGCATCTAATCCTAGAGCAAGGAATGACCCCACAGAGGGCTGCCATCCTGTTCACAGCTGCGTTTCATGGAGGTGTTCGAACCGGATTACTCCAGCAGGCCGAGTCTTCACCAGCTGACATCTGCACAGATCAGGTGATTCAGGACCATGGATTGCAGCCACAGTGCACATTCAGACCATGTCACCTGTTCTCAGGCCGGTACCGTTTTGATCCTCATGATCCAGTGCAGGTCCCCTCAGGTATAAGCGTTTTGCTGGATGTAGGTGACCACAGGATTAGACACTCGCACCCAGCAGGAAGTAGTCATGAGGCCCCACGGGAACCACGACTTGAAGAGCCTGCCACTGCCAGTAGTGACCAGGAAGACAGCATGTCCATGATGCAGACTCCCAAATACAAGGCATTCCCCAAAAGTCGAGCTCAGCGCCAGACGTCATTTGCACAGTCAAGTACAGCACCAGCACATCACATCCTGCAGATTCACCAGCCCATCACAAGGGATGCAAGCGGCCCCCACCAGTGCAGCGCCTAGACATTGTGGTACGTAATCTGCAGGAGTTTCACCAGATGTTACAGTGGCAAACCACTCGTGCACGAGACAGCTGTGTTGACCAACCTCCAAGGCGGGTTCTTATTGCCACCTGGTTTTCTGACCCCATCACCTTACCACGTTGTGACCACTCTAGGGAGGTCATTTTGTCCACCCAACCAGTGCAGTGGCCTACTGACATTCTCCAGCGATGGGCAGATTTCTTACAGCCGAACCAGCCAGTTGAAATGCATGTCGCCGTGCCTGACCCTCCAGGAGGGTCACCGGAAATCATTGCTCATGTGATTGTGGTTCAGAATCCCACCCATGATCAGGTCGCCGCTCTTATCAGTATCACGGAGCTTATGGAAGACCCCTGGCACCCATCAAGGATTTGCACGCTGTTACCTGCTCAGGTCACATGCAATGAGCTGTTTGCCCAGGCAGGCATTAGTGAAGATCAAACGATGACCACACCGGGCCTTGCAGCATACCATGGAAATGTGCCTATCCTGCCAGGCAGCTCTTTTCCGGCACGACATGGGTACGCCTTTGAGGTCATTACGGACACTTTGGATAGGGAAAGAGACGACCTGCCACTGGCACACTTGCCAGAGGCACCGATTGCTGCTTCAGCCCCTCCATCAACAAGTGTCCTGCAACATGTTGACCCTGTGCAGCCGTCCGTATTCACAATCGAAGAGGACAATGAGTCACTCAGCTTGATTCAAAAGTCCTTCAAGACCATCCATGCTGTGATGAATCAGATGCACCACACAATTCAGGAGGGTTCCATTCTTGCAGGTGGCTCCCAACACACTTGTGCTGTGGTAGGTCCGCCCTACACCCCAAGGGGCACTATGCCACAGATTGAGGAACCCCTTGATCCCAGTGCACAAGAGATCAAAGTATCCATTGATACATTGCATCGCTGGCAGCATTTGGCTGCGTTGAGACCATTTGCCGTACAGCCCATGGCCCCCATCATAACCTGGATGGTTGATCATGAGCGCTTCCCCCAATGCCTTGTGCCTCGAGAGGTTCATTTGAATGCATACCCCAACAACTGGAAAGCCAAGATCCTCAGTGCTTGGCAGGATATGCTGTTACCTAGCCACCCGGCTGAGGTCAAGCTGGTCCAGCCACATCCGGTTGCGATGGAAGCCTATGCAGTGGCCCATGCTATCGTTACCCAACAACCGCAGCCTGGCTTAACTACCATTTTGCTCACCACGCTAGATAGTGCCCAACCAGGGGCACATCGCAGGCATGCCACTATGGCACCACAAATGCTTACAAGAGAAACCTTGTTGGCTCTGGCATTCATTGGGCCCGACTGCCATGACCCCACTGCCGACTGTGACGCATGGATTGCCGACATTGAACTGGAGCATCATGTACCTCATGCCACCCAGGAGGCACAGTCATGCACTGCAGCCATTCACCGCCACAGATACCCACCTCCGGACACTCCTGATCCATGGGAGTATGCTGCCACGCTGAACACAGAATTTCGTGTGCCCATATCAATCCAAGCAGCTCTCCCAGAGGAACGTCAGGAAATCACCCTTGACCAACAAGGGAACGACCCACAGTTACTGTGGTTCGAGAATGAAGCGTGGAAGATCGAGCTGGAAAATGAAGAATGCTGCCAACTCCTACCTCTGCCCGATGGAATGCAAGTCCCAGAACCAGCCTACTGGGCCCTACTGCAACCACCTCCACACTCCCTTGATGCAGAACTGCAATACACGATGTACCTTGATGGGGCTGCCAATGGCCTTGAAGCTGGATGGAGTGTCATTGTCACGGCCAGCCACCACCACACGGAACACTTTGTAGGATGCATCTATGGAACAGTACAGCTCAATCCCCAGCACCCAGACTGAGTTGGAGCGGATACCTCCGACAACATCTCAGCAGAGCTATCAGCCATTTTGTTTGCACACAATGTTGTCATGAGATGGACAGGTAAACAGCCGGTATGCGTCCGTCCTGACCTGTCTCTTAGTCGTACAGTCTCAACGGCTACCACAACATGCAAGTCCAACCCCCAGCTTGCCAAAATGTGCTGTGCCTTAGGACTATGGACGGCCAGACAGGTGGAGATACATGAGATCAGGGGCCATGTGGGCCACGCCTGGAACGAGCTAGCCGACGCGGTGGCCAAATGGGCAATGCAACAATCCAGCAACCCGCTCACTGGCCACTTTGTCCAACTCCACAAACTGGCCTCTGCCCCTCACGACATCAAATGGACGTGGATGCAAACTACTCACCCAGCAGTAGCAGCATGTTTTCCCCCCCTGATCCAGCAACAAGTCATGCAGTTCACGCCAGCTTGCAGAAGGGTTCACATCACCCCCACTGAACGCCTCCAGCCAGTTGACGATACAAAAAGCTCAAACTGGAAGCTGTGTGCCTGCACAGCCAATGTGCTGGCCACCGAAGTGTGGAATTTGCAACCAGTTGGAACCAAAAGAACCGGTCAGCGCACTGCGCGCCTGGATGCCCAATGGCACCATGCACAGTACCATGTGGTAGGAGTTCAAGAAGCACGCACTGCGCAAGGCAGGTTTCATGCACCCCACTACCACATTTTTTCCTCAGGGGCCAAGCACAAAAGGGCACCCTTATACGGCTGTGAGTTATGGATCCACAAAACTCTTCCGGTGGCAACTGACCCTGAGGGCAAACCGGTCGTCCTGGGCAGGGCCACATTTACAGTCCAACATGCTGATCCCAGACGCCTCTTTGTTGAAGCTAGGTTGGGGACTACTACATATGCCTTGATAGTTCTTCATGCGCCTAGCCTTGCCACTCCCAGTCAAGAGAACCCGGATCCAGCAGCCGCCACGGCCCAATGGTGGGCCGACACAAGCGCCATCTACTACAGACATGTTGATGCAGCAGCGCAATGGGTCTTCATTGACGCAAATGCCCCACTTCACAGCGGGGTAAACGACCTCTTTGGGTCTCATGGGGCTGAACCCCCCAACAAGGCTGGTGAACTCTTTGAAGCGTTCATTCATGATCATCAGTTGGTAGTCCCTTCCACGTTCTCACACCTGCACACTGGGCCCACCACCACATGGACTCACAGCACCGGGAAAAAGAGCCGGAAAGACTACATCCTAGTCTCCCGTCAGGTTTACCCACTTGCCAGGAGAAGCTGGGTGGATGTCCATCATGACACCACCTTTGCACATGAGGATCACCTGCCGGTCGCCCTCCAGTGCCAGGGATGGCTCCCAGCCAGTCCATCCACAGCTGCCAAAGCCTGGGATGACCAGGCTATGTTAGACCCGGTCCGTTATCAGGCCTTCCAAGCTGCACTGAACACCCTGCCGCTGCCCACTTGGGAAACAAACATTGATGATCATGCAGCGCTATATGAGAGGCAAATCCTAGCCCTTGGTCAGCAGTTCTTCACCAAGAAGAAAGGCAAACACCGCCAGATCCAGCTGCAGCATGCTACACTTGATGCAATTGCCTTCAAACGACATATTTTGGACTTTGGGCGCAAGAATGGTTGCATGCATCAGCAGGAATACAAACATGAGCTCAAACAAATAGAAAAAGAGGTTGCTCAAAGAGTCAACAAGGACATCCAATCCTTTTACACAGACCTGCTCAGCCAGCTGCAATCGTCTGGCGAGATGTCCAACCACCGCCTTGTCTACCGCCTTTTGCACAGGCTGGGACGCAAAAAAGGGGCCAGTGCAGCCGGGGCCAGACCCCTGCCCATGCTACAGAAACAGGATGGCAGTCTGGCAACTACGTTTCTTGAACAGCAGCAAACATGGATGGACCAGTTCGCACAAATCGAAGCTGGCATTCAGCGCAGTTGGGATGAAATGACTCAGCAGCATGAAGACCCCACCTACCAGCATCGATGCCATGACCTGGAGCCCGAGGCCTTTCCAAGTGCCTGGCAAATTCAGTCGCTGATTTCACGCCTGAAACGAGACAAAGTACCCGGCCCCAACTGCATTCCTCCGGGCCTGGTTAAAGCCGGGGGCAGTGTTATTGCCAAACACTTGTCAATGCTCTTCACGAAAGTTGCCGCCAGCGCCACCGAACCCTTGCATTGGAAGGGGGGGCAGTTAATCCCACTTTGGAAAGGTAAACTCCCACCTCAAATTGCGAGTGGTTATAGAAGCATCTTTCTCTCGAACTATACCACCAAACTTTATCACCAGTGCTTTAGGGCACACCTGGTTGGGGCCTGGGAAAAAGGGCTGACTCATCTCCAATGCGGTGGCAGAAAAGGTGTGGGTGCCGATGTAGCCCACCACATCGTGCAATGCCACCAATCCTGGTGCAAGCAGCACTCAGTGCCATCGGCTGCCTTATTTGTCGACTTGAAGTCGGCTTTTTACATGGTATTGAGACAAACCTTCACCAGCCTACCATCTCAAGATGCGGCGTTTATGGATGCAATGCAGAAACTTGGCATGACACCCGATGAAGTCCAAGGCCTTGTTGACGTTGCCAAACAGGAAAATGCCACACCTGGACTCGCCACTCACTTGCAGCACATATTGCGGGACCTCATGCACAACACCTACTTCACCATCGCTGGACTCACACAGCCATGTCAGACCACTAGAGGCACGAGACCTGGTGATCCGGTCGCTGACGTGCTGTTCAACCTCTGCATGCGCCTGGTGTTGGTAGACTTCAAGAATGAGGTAGTAAACACAGCCCACATCCCATGGCTTGGAGACGTCACCCCAGTCTCGGACCTGACCCAACCAACGGCAATGCCAGCTGAGGGGTTTGTTGATGTCACGTTCGTTGATGACTGTGTCGTACTGGTTCATGCAAAATCCAATGACCAAGTGGCCCACATCCTACGATCGGTGATCAGGGCCCTCGACTCTGCATCAGCACGTAGGGGCCTCAGCATCAACTATGAACAAGGCAAGACGGAAGTCCTATGGACCATTGTGGGCAAAGGAGCACGTCAGATGAAACGCACCATTCATGAAGCAGGTCAGCAGCTCCAATGGGCCGATGCAGACCGGCAGTTTTCAGTTCATGTATGTCACGCGTACAAACACCTGGGTACGTGGGTACAAGCACACCACCACCACACACGGGAGATCCTCTCCAGAGCAACTGGTGCAAAGCAACAATGGGGGCAGCTCGCTCGCTCCTTCTTCACCAAGAAGGTGATCACAATCCCAGTCAAAAGTGCTGTGTTCCAAAGCCTTGTCATCTCAAAGATGATTTACAACGTCCACACGTGGACGTCCATCAAGCCCCAACACCTTGAAACCTGGGTCAATCACCTAAAAGCTCCTGCTGGCACTTTGCTCAAGGGCTTTTTGATGGCCTCTACCAAATACCAGCACACCACCGATGAAATGCTGGCATTTGCAGGCATCTTGCCATTGCGAGACCAAGTTCATGCCAACCGGCTCAGGTTTCTTGCCAGACTGATGCAAGCATGTCCCCAAATCACATGGGCGTTGATGAGCTCTACGGCAGCACCACATTCTTGGGCGCAACTTTGCCTCGAGTCATGCCAGTGGCTCCTGATGCACTACGACAGCAAACTGCCGCTCACTGACCAGTCGACGTTTCTAGAATGGGTCAACTATGTGAGGCTGGATCCCAACTGGAAAGGTCGCATCAGGAAAACGTGCAAGCTTGCGTTGGCCTTCCACAAATCCAGAGCTGAACATGCGATATGGCAGAGACACTTTGATGCCCGCCTGGCAGCCTTGGGCGCCACCTTGCCAACCCAGGACAAACCACCGCAGATCGCGGAAAAGTGGCAATGTGATCTTTGCAGCAAAGTCTTTGCCTCCACTCGTGCTCTTGCAATGCATGCTGCCAGAGGCCATGGCTACAAAAAGAAAGTGAGATATTATGCCGTGGGCGAAACGTGTCAAGTGTGTTGCCTCAACTTTCACACACGCAAAAGGCTCTCAGTCCACTTGGAAAAGCAGCCGAGATGTTTTAATGTGGTAGCAGCGTGTTGGCCCCCGCTACCTGCGGAACAGGTGGAAGCCCTTGACACAGCTGATCGAGAACTTGAGTCTCTCCTGCGCAAGCAAGGGTGGTGGGCCTCCAAGGCCTTCCAGCCGGTGTTAGCCACTTTTGGCCCCTCACTACCCCCTGAAGGTAGTCAGGGGGCGCAACTCATGTTTGACCGCATGCAAAACAGACGCCCAAGTGATGAAGTCGCGTACACCATGCTGCAAGGCACCAAAATCACAGCAATCCCCAGTGACCCAACCAAGCTGTGGTTCAGTCACTCAGATCTGCCAGCTTTCATTATGCAGTCAGTACAGGGCACTGATGCCGGCGGAGGAGCGTTTGCCATGGAAGGCCTTGCGCGGGAAGCAGCCACCCTACACATACGGGCGCTAGTAGTGGTGCACTTCTTTAGTGGCTTCAGACGCACAGGTGACATTCACCATGTGGTTGACCACCACGTGGCTGAAAGTGGCCTTCAGATCTTCACCCTTTCAGTGGATCTCTGTATGCAAAGAAAAAGCGGTGACCTGGCCACGCCCCATGCATGTCGGTGGTGGAAAGACAGGGTGCTCAGTGGGCAAGTCGTGGCTGCTGGAGGCGGCCCACCATGTGAGACATTCACAGTGGCGAGGCAGTACGAAGGTGGCCCCAGACCACTACGCAGCGCCTCCCAGCCGCTAGGGCTTCCTGGGCTCACGCTCAAAGAATGGTGCCAGCTCCGCATCAGTGACAGGCTACTTAGGTTCCTGCTCGACATCTTGGTGACCCTTGCAGTCACAGGCATGAGTGTTTTTTTAGAACATCCGCAATTCCCAACATGGTGCACTCGTGGCCACCCGGCCAGTATCTGGGCAATGGCTGCCCTGAAGCACTTGAAGCGCCTGAACTGCTTTACTGTTGTAAGCTTCGATCAGTGCGTGGTTGGGGCGGTCTCCAAAAAGCCAACAACCCTCCTCCTTTTGAGGATGCCGGAAGTGAGGGATCAGTTGATGCTGCGTGGAATCTACGGCCGTTGCAATCACCCAGCAGGAGCACATGCAGCCCTGATCGGCCGAGAACAAGATGGCACGTTCAACACCGCCAAAGCCAAGGTGTACCCGTATGGACTCAACAGACTCCTCGGAACTGCTATGTTCCGCGCTGCAGCAAAACTGGCAGGATATTGCAGCACAACCGAGCTGCCAGAGGAACTTGAGCCATACCTGGAACAAAGCCACCAAGAGCAAGGCGTCGTCCAACCGGACTATCATGGCGGTACCGGCTAAACAGGCTGGCTGTACAGTTGCAGGACATCTGACCGAGCACCAATATGGTGCAGCACCGCAAATGGAAAAAATGGGGTTGACACCACCAACCAGTACATATATACATACTGTTCTATCCTGCCTAGATGATAACCCCAATTGACCACAACATGTTTGTCATGGGTCGAAACAATTTTTGGATTTTTGTTGCTAAGATCCTACTTTCATTTCCTCTCAAGAATCACCATTCATTGCTAAGTGTTCTTGGTTGGCTCCTTTGGATCATTTGATTAGAGGATTCCAGGACAGAAAAATGCAGGTTTCCTAAGTCATGGGGGTACCTCCCATTCTCATCCATTTTGATGTTGGATTTTCCATGAAATAAACCATTCATTTTGGGGTACCCCCATGGCTATGGAAACCACATTTTTTTCCGCTATATCAATCCATTGCAACTGCTGCAAGAATCGGTGTCATTTTTTTTGTTTAGCGATGCTCATGTTGTAAACAACTATCAAGCAAGGACGGATATTAGATATTTCCCGCTTGCATGAATTCATGATGAGATAATACTTGCTTATACACATGGTTTTTTGCTTAAGTTATACAATGTTATACATTCCCAATGCTCGATGTTTCTGGAGAATTCACTCGTAAAACGAGCCAGTTATGTAGGTCAATATTCCAGCACGATGGAACAACCCAACAATTTCTGATTCATGGTTTAATATTCCCATCATCAATGGTGAATGTGTCGTTTATTTATGGTTACCACACGGTGATGCCCCAAGTAATGTTTGTTGGTTTATAACCATAAACATATTACTAATATTCTAGACATATAAATACATTTTTTTATTTAGAACATATAGTGTTTGTTTACAACCATAGTATTTATACATTTATTTCATTCAAATATTCTAGACGTATAAATACACATATGTTTCGTTACCATACATCTTAGTGATCATAGTTTATATAAATCAAATTTAGCTTTTCCGATCGTTCGCACCGGCTATGATTGATGGGTAAAAATTGGTCAATGTCCCCATTCCTCATGGCTATGCCGCCATGGATTTTTCCTCGATATTTCCCAGCAGCCATTCGGCAGGCTGCTGCGCCTTCCCAGGCCCTTGGTGCCCGCCAGGAAAGCGGTGATCGACTTGGGGGTTCAGCCGAAATATGGGGATTTCACGCACCAAGATGTGGCTAAACAGCTTGGGGAATGCTCTGATCTGAATATACATCACTGGGCATATTTACTAACGAGGTAGAGTCGACTTTTTGACATACACAAAATGGCTCTGGGATCGTATTAGTCATGATTGGTCAAGGTTTGACCCAGTGAGGTATACCTAACATGAACTGTCCCAAGGCTCTGGCTGTTTCACTGGTATCCCGTCTGTGGGTCCCAGGGCCCATCTTTGAAGCTTAGGCGGGGTAACTAGCCAAACTGTCCGAAGATTTCAGGGGCATGGGCCGGGAAAGGGAAGATGAGTGGCCGAAGATTTCAGGTGAGTGAAATATCATAATTTACAAAGACGATAATATGATAGAATAGTAGTATAACATAATACAACGCTATCCATTTACCGAGACAATTACTTGCTGGTTGGTGGTTTGGAACATTTTTGATTTTTCCACATATGGGGAATAATGATCCCTTCAACTGACCAATATGTTTCAGAGGGATTCAGACCACCAACCAATTGTATTTCAAACATAGAAAGAGTTGCAGATGGCCATCTCACCATTGCAGGATTTCAACAACCCCGAGGATTTCATTTCCCAACCCTCTGAGGGATCTCCGACGAACCAAGGCGTCGTGTGATTCCAAGAGTAACTTGAAGAATCTTCTTGGAGCTTTCATCCACGCAATTCCCCAGATATACCCCATTCCATATATATATATAATATTAATATATATATATATTAATAAATATATTTATGGTATATAATATATATATATATTATTATATTATATAATAATAATAATATATATATAATATAATATATTATATATACAATATATATATATATATATCTAATATATATATAATATATATAATATACAATATAAAATATTTAATGTATATTATATGTATTATATAATAAATATATATATATAATTCCTAACAGATTTTGCAATACGAATCCTTTCACCCAGCAACGGGTGTTTCCCAGCTCTCCGTGGAGGATTTTGCTCCTGTCGAACATGGGATAAGGAGGAGGCCTGGAGCCGGTCTGGGAATCAAACACGGCTGGAGAATCCACCATTTAGTTCAATGATTCCCCCAATCAAACCTCCATTTGTACAATATGAGGCCCCCGTTCGATAGCGTTCAGTTGGGGTTGACATAACGCCAATGTCACTATGGTTTATGGTATTTATATGTATTTATAACGAACTAGTTACTGGGGCGAATCTAAACCAACAAACATATATTGGGGGCCTCACATTGTACCGTATTTTCCATTGCCACATCTGATTTCCGGAGGGTAATGGGAATTTACGCATGATAGGGTTGTAACTAGTTATACGCATCAACCATATATGAGATATTGTTGACAAGTGATGCGTGATGGGGTGTTTTGTTGGGGCTTATACTGTTACTATCCAACATGTAAAAAAAATCATAACTAACGGGATACCGATTGCACTAATATCCAACCAGTATATCAATTGGAATTTCAGGATCGTTAATTGGAGGTACAATATCCCCACAAATCATGGCCAAAAATATGGTACAATACCTCCATTTTAGGATCCTGAAATTCCCATTGAGTATAAAGGAAAGACAGAGGGTTTTGACCACTGCTGACACTGCTTATTTGTTGATTTCCATCAGTGCCTGAGGTGATGGCCCCCCGTGACTGCACATTTTTTCGGAGTGAAAACATGTGAGAACCACCAACCAGTGTAGCCTGGGGTTTCCCAGTTTACGGGGGGATGGCTTCTGGCTTTGATGGCCATGTTGATAGGATAAACGCTGAAAATTTGAACCACAGGTTGTACCCTCTGGTAAACTAACACAAGTATGGAAAATCACCATTTTTAATGGGTAAATCCACTATAAATGGCCATTTTCAATAGCTATGTTTGTTTCCCAGAGGGTATTGGAAATCATCTCAACTGACGTCAAATCGGAAATTAGATCGACTTGGGATGCAGCAATGACAGGAATTTCTAGGCCGTCTAAAGACGGAGATTGCCAGGTTGCATGTCACGGGTTGATTTCTGAGTGTCTGAAAGCTGAAACAAAATTCACGTTTCATCACTGAAACTAAAGCCCTTGAAGGCTACCTTCTGAATTCCCACGAATTGGTTTTCACCAGTTTTGAGAGGTAAACCATGGTAAATCCAATTAAATCCACATGTGTTGATGGTTAAACGGTTAAACCACCATGAAATTCGGGGGCCGACTTTCTGGCGTTCAGTGTTGGTAGGTGCTGTTCTTTCCGGATGACAAGAAGCGTACAGGCCCGGGACTGGAGAGGTTTCGTCTCGGAGAGAAGAAGCTGGATGATGCGCGAAAGAATGCAACGGCCAGATGTTTTTAATGCTTTGTCATCTTAGGACTTTATATGATTCTATATGATGGTTGTTAATTGAGCATGATTCAGACTAATAATAATCATGTCATAGAAATAATACTACTTTAACAAACGATCTCCAACATATACTACGGTCTTGACCAAGGGAAGCAAAAAAGCGGTGTCTCCCAGGTTTTTTTCATCACGACCTGTAGGGGAAGACTATCTCCCAATATGCCCCTTCAGTGTTCCGGCTAGTGAATCATTATAACTAGTTGGTGGTTTGGAACATGAATGGAATATGACTTTCCAGAAACACTTGGGAATCATGGATTACAGTGGTTTAATGGATGTTAATGGATGTTAATAGATTATTTTTTCCATATCTTGGGAATTTTATCATCCCAACTGACTTTCACTCCATCATTTTTCAGAGGGGTAGGTCGAAACCACCAACCAGATGCCATTAAAATTCCCATTAGATCCCATTAAACCACCATTAAAAATCCCATTAAACCACCATTAAATGCCATTTATCCCAGCAAAAATTTTCTCAACCACTTCTCCAAACCTCTATGTCTTTGTTTTTGAGGGATGGCCTTGCCAAATGTCAAAAAATCCATCGACCAGTTCTCCCAATTGAATAGGCTCCAGCATTTCTTGGCGACGCTGAAAGTACCCTCTGGTAAACTAACATAACTATGGAACATCACCATGCTATTAATGGGTAAATCCACTATAAATGGCCATTTTCAATAGCTATTTTGACAAAACCAGAGGGTAACATTTTTTTGTGGAAACGAACGGCACCAACCACGGCACAAACGGCACAAAGGTGGATGGTAACATCAGCTGAAGCTCCCAGAATTGGTGAAATCCCTTGGTTGCTGCTGATCAAATGCTCGGGTCACATTAATGTTTTTTGTTCAACGGTTAAACCTTAATGACTTTGCCCAATTCAACATTCTTGATGGTCACATAGTTAAATACCGTTGAAATTCACATGAGCATCCCTTTAAAATTGGAATAATTCGATTTCATCAACATTAAACACCAAATGTCATCCATGTTCTTTTGAGATGTCAAGTGCCATTTCTTTTTTTGATCAGATCCTGCACTAAAAAAGAAATGGATCCTGGAATTTTGATCCTGCAATTTCCTGCAATTTCTGGTCAGATGCCAGGCCTCAAAAGAATCCTGGCCCTACTGGCCAGCGCGAAGAAGTCTCTGGATGTGGCCGAGCCTTGCCTCAGATTGGGGAAAAACATCAACAGTGAGATGGAGAAAGTCCATGGGAATAATCAATGGACAAAAAATGGACACATAATATATATATATATATATATTTATTATTATATAATCATATATATATAATTATATAATTATATAAATGATATATATATAATATGATTGTATATAATTAGATGATATAACTATATATATATATCATAATATCCAATGGCCAATATATAATTATATATGGATAAAAGATGATCAAATCACCAGACGGAATGGGAGCTGAATCACCATCTGGCAGACAGCGAACATGACCTATGTGGAGAGATGAACAGCTGTGATTTCAGAAAACACGGACAACTTGCTCCATACTATGGATCCAAGATGATCCAAGCATCTGAGGAAGTAATTATTCATCCATTTTTGTGGGTTTAGGTTGGTGGAAGCAGCCAATTAGTGAGAATATGTGAAAATATTGATGTACCATGTTATGATTCTCAAATATTATACTTTTTTTTATCAACATTTACGAATATGATTTTAACCATGTAGATTTTCCAATATTACCATACATCTGTCTTATTACCCTCTGGTTATTTGTTACATAGCCATGGGAAATGGCCCATAGAAATAGATGCTTTACCGTAATCAAAAATGAAAATGGTGGATCTTTCCATGGTTTACCTATTATATAAATAACCAGATAATTTACCATTTATAGATGGTTTACCTATTAAAAATGGTGGATAATTCTATGGTTTACCTATTAAATAACTACACAATTTTTACATGGTGATTAACTCCATGGCAAGCTGTAACAATTTTGACCATATATTTATCAGTTGTTTCTCGCCAGATATTGTTCATATTTCCCATATATTTATCTTAATCATGTAGATTTTCCAATATTTTCCAGATATTTTCCAATATTACCATAGATTTTTGCAAGAATACCATATTTTACCATGACTATTACCATGACTAGCACTTTTTGCGCAGCAGCGTTTTTCAGGTCTTCAGTATCAGTCACCAAGACTTGGCGGATGCTTTGTTGGACGCCCAGAGGTCAGGGGATTCATGGGGGATCCAATGGAGGCCCCCAGCTACGACGATCGCGTTCACTTGGGGTGAACTAATAACTCCAATGTCACGAACTGGTTTATGATGGTTTATGGTATGCAAATGACTATAGTTTGCCATGTTTGCCATGCCATGTTCACTATGGTTCACTATGGTTCACTATGTTTATATGCAAATAACGAACTATAGTTACTGTTGGGCGAATCTAAACCAACTTTTTTCACTTGTATGCAAATAACGATAACGAACTAGTTACTGTTGGGCGAATCTAAACCAACGTTCACATATCGAACGGGGGCCTCACATTGTATACTTGTTGTTCATATGCAAGTGTTTATACATATTCACATATATATATACTTATATTACATTATATATATGTATATATATGAATATGTGTAAATCTATTTATATGTGTATATATCTATATTCATACATTTTACGAACCCTTCAAAATGGCATGGTTGATGTGGAGGTTTCCTAAGTCATGGGTACCCCAAATAGTCTTAGTTATTGGATCGTTTTAGTATTGAAACCCATGGTGACTTGGGATCCCGCATTTTAAGAAACCCCCAAATATGTATACATGATTTGTATATTGAAATTGATTGAATATATCTATGAGCTATAGCTTGCTAGCCTGAAATGATTTTCATGATTAGAATTTGGTGACTTAATGGATTGCTATGGAAGCCATGGCCCATGGACGCAGATGATTTACCTCATATTCAAAGTGGTGATTTTCCATGGCAAACTGTTCGTTCAGAACAGGACAATACTTTTGATGTAGCTATGGAAAACGGCCCATTTGAAAGTGATTTACCCGTTCAAAAATTGTGATCTTCTATAGTCATGTTAATTTTCCAGAGGGTACATATACATATACAGTAACTTCCACAATGATAGAAAAATACATCATCACTATTTTAGTAGGATTCTACGTTTCTATCTTTTTGGTGGTTACTCTCGCATAAACTAACATAGGTGTGGAGTTGATCCACCAATTGTAGATGATTTACCTTCGGAAACCAGGCAGGTTTTCCACATCTGATTGTATGTTTATCCTACTGTGGATGGTTGCGAAATCCTGCACCAGTTGATAGGTGGTTTATCCCACTATTTATAGGGTTTCAACCATCCAAGGTACTATTCCTATGGGCCATGTTCCAGTTCGCTATGTTAATAAAACCCATTGGCCCAACATGTCCAGACCGCACCGGAGGCGTGGTGTGAGGGTGCGCATCTTGACGGACGACATGCAGGAGAGATGTGGGTCATAACAAACCTCTACTGCTTGGTGGTGACTGGAACATGAATGGAAAAAATGACTTTCCAGAAACACTTGGGAATCATGGATTATAGTGGTTTTTCATGGATTTTCATGGATTTTAATTGATTTTTCCATATATTGAGAAGAATAATCCCAACTGACTTTCATATTTTTCAGAGGGGTAGGTCAACCACCAACCAGTCTATATTTACCTAAGAAAACCCCCCTTGTACCTAGGGTGTTTGGAGCAAGCCTGACAAAATCAAGCTGAGAAACTAGAAACATGATGTTTCATCTAATATGAAACATACAATGTGAGGCCCCAGCTCGATAGCTAAGTTGGTTTATAACTCCAATTTCACTATGGTTTATGGTATTACAACTATACTTACTGGGGCGAATCTAAACCAACGTTCACATATCGAACGGGGGCCTCACATTGTAGGGAAACAGGATTTCGCCAAGAAAATGATCGACCGAAAGTGGAGAAAAGTGGATGGTTGAAGTGGTCTCAGAGGGTTAGTTAGTCCCATAGGAAGCCATAGAAAACCCATAGAAAAATGGTGATTTGAACCAGGAAAAAAAACATGATTTTATTGGATATATGTATAATATAATATATATATATGAGTTATGTCATGTCAGCCCCGGATTAACAAACTATGGCTGACTAATTCGGGGGGATCCTCCAAATGCTGATCACGTGATACTTAAATGACCCCCCTAAGCAGCCTAGGGGTTTATTAATCCAGGGTTGACATTACTACCCAAGTGGGGGATATTCTGATCAGAAAAACTGGTGTCATGAAATGCATGTGGCGATTAAATTTTGATATCCCAAGAGAATGAGATGCGTACATTAGGTCTTGAGACCAAGACTACCCTCTGGTAAACGGGCTAACATAACGAACTGGAAAATCACCATGTTGTAGCTGGGTAAATCCACTATTTCTATATGGCCATGTTTCAATAGCTATGTAAACGTTTACCAGAGGGTATCCCATTAATAATCCCATTAACTGTTAGTTTACCAGAGGTAATCCAGCCATTAACACTTATTATCCACTATTAAAACCATGACTAATCGTTATTAACCACTTTTATATACTAATGTTTAACCACTATTATCCATGTTTAACCACTATTAACCACTATTAACCATGATGAACCATTATTAACCCTATATTTCCCATGGGTATCATCTGTTGTCTCCTGGGTCAATGTTTGATCACAGGAGTTGCTTGGTGAAAGTTGGGGACAAAACATGGATCCATGAGGAAGCGTCGAGTTACCCTCTGGTAAACATACAAAAAAAAATTGGAAATGGTCATTTATATATATTTATAGTGGATTTACCCAGCTAAAAGCATGGTGATTTTCCAGTTCGTTATGTAAACGTTTAGCCGGTTTACCAGAGGGTAGTCGTATGAGGCATGACCTTAAGTTCCAAGTGATGAAATTGAAGAACCAGGTGAATCCAACCAAGTGAATCCTCAGGTGTGATCAAGGCACAACAAAAATCATGCTGTTCCAAGAGGTCGAACTCACGACCTTCTCCCCGCTGTCGAAGTTCTAACCTGGGGACGATTCGGAGTTTCCTTACATCCATGGCCTGGCCAACTAATGGATTCTGCATGAATATCCAGTTAATCTGTATATATATATATATGTATAATTATATATATATACAATTACAATCAAAAACATAAAATACAACTATATATCGTTTACATAAAAACGATATGCAACGTACAGTTGATGATGTATAATTAATTATAATTACATATACAGAAATGCATTTACAATGTATATGATTGAATATCTCACAATCACAAAGAATCACAAAGAAACACAAAGAATCACACAGAATGACACATCATAATCACACATCATAATCACGCATATTCACATACTCACACATAATCATACACAATCACACATAATCACACATATAATCACGTATACAATTACGTAGAATTAAATGTAATGTAGATGGCTATATATAAACTATATAGTTAAATATCATGATTTCATATAATAGTATATATATATATATAATATATATATACATACATATATATATATATTATATATATATATTATATATATATATATCTGATAATTGCCTGGGTCTTGGACGTCGGGACCCACCGAGTCTCGTTTGGCGACCTCGGAAGGCAAAACAGGAGAACTCCTGTGTGGCTGCGCTGAAGAAAGAGATCATCGTGCGTCCGGGGCCACGGATGCATTGGAACACTGAAGGGTGAACGATCCAATTTGTGGATGGGGAACAACAAAAGGTTAACAAAGGATTGAAAATCAGGAAAATTGGTCTTATCTACTGTAATTATTCTAGAAATGATCCGAAATGATGGGTCCCAATCATTTTTCCCCATGTTGCCAAAAGATTCAATATCTTTATTTGATTACCTCTGGTGCACCCATATGTTTGGCATGGGCTGAAACCAAAAAGCCTAAAAATGAGTCAGTTACAAGATAAGTTGAATACACATGAATACAATTATTATCCATTCAAAACTTCAAAACATATTTTACGCGAGTTAGATACTTGTAAAATTTAGATCTCCAAATGTGTCGTTGACATCCCTGCCCTGTGAGTTTCCAGGCATGGATTCCAATGAGAAGTTGCATATGCATCACAAGTTGGGCCCTGAGATGTTTAGACTCCCAGCTTTCAGCGCAACTTGTCTTCGTAAACACCAGTGTTTTTTATGTGGAAGCCCGGCTTCACCAACAGTGGCCGCCACAACTAACGAAATTGGTGATACTAACAAGATAGTGCGGATGAGTGGTTCGCGCATGTCGATTCCGAAACCGATGAGCTCTCTGAGCAAAACTGGTAGGTGTTACCACGTGTTACCTAGATATGCATCTCACTTAGATATGAAAAGATATCAGTTCTTTCGACAACACTTTTTTGTTGGATCTGAGCATATCGGAGCTAACCATGATTAGATCATTATTGAGATCGTCATTTTTATGCATTGATCTTTGGATTTATATTCCCATGATGTTTGGATTCCCATGGCATGGGGTGGATGACCAAAAAAAGATCAGCCAACTCTGGAGAGAAGAGGGTAACCCCACTGATGGAAATTGTGTGAAGTGATGAGCAGGAAAAAAAAACACCCACCAAGAAAGCAAGTTAACACAAGAAAAGCATTGGTGGAGATGCGAACAAACTAATTTGAGAAAGAGCACCATATGACACACACACACACACGTTTCTATCATTAGGGAAAAAAAACAGACACCATGATCATTGAACAGAAATACTTCTAAGGGAGAACTTGCAACCAACTACCCCAGCAGCTGGAGGTTTATTGTCATCGATGAAAAGATTGTGCTGAGCGGGTCTCTCAATTGGACCCATGCGGCACTTGAACGAGGCGCTGCTTGTGGAGGTTTCCGTCGCGATTTTCATGCAGGATTCGTTGCAGATAGTGACCCCAAAAGTGATGATGAACTGGTCACTTTGGAATCCCTTGCTAAAATGATCTAAAATGACTGGTACGGATTAGTTGAGTTGCTACTATGGTTGTTTATACCATACTAGATACCTTTGTAAGATGCGCTAGCTCTTTCATAGAGATCGAGACTCTAGACGGGTCCAGACCAAGCACTGATGCCAACCCCGTATTGACAGCCCCTCTGGCTGTTTGATTGGGGTACTTTTTTAGCAGCAAACTATCACTATTTCTTGGTGAGCCACCCTGATCAATCAACAAGGTTTTATCAAGTTGGTTTATAAACCCCGTGAACATTTGTTATCGCGAAGCTACTTAGTTCAATGAACTTCGCGAAGCAGTGTCAACATCAGAAAATCCCATCAACATATATCAAAATATCAGATTACACCTTCATGTCAGCCCCTATCCAGCCCATATTGTTGCTTATTTAGTGCTTCATGTCATCCCGGACCCAGCGGACCCATCGGACCCCAGTGGACCCCAGTGGACCCAGTGGACAAATCACCATCTTTAAGTACATCATATATTAATGGACCATTTTCATCCATTTTCCGTAACTATAATAATATATATATACAGTATATATATATATATATACATGTGTGCATACACCTGACAATATATATATATATATTTGTACATATTCGCAGGGGCGCTGAGCACCTATGAGTTCCAATGTGGGCTAAAATCAACACAACTCTGGCTTCGACAACATGTAGAAAACGTGGGTTTTGGGAGGTGGTGCTAGCATATGGTACATGTGTAAATATATACACATATATATATATATATATTCCATATATATATACACACATACATAGACCTAATCTATCTATCTAGCTATCTATCTATAGGCGTTTAATTAATTAATTATATATATATATATGTAACCAAGTTGCTTGTCTTTCTAGCACATCACAGCCTTTTATCGGAGCTGGAGCTGGTGCAGGAAATGAGAACCTGGTGATCAGCGAGTCTCACGACGGCACATGTTGATCCCCTCGGTAGGCACGGTAGGCACGGTAGAAAATCCCCTCGAAATGAAGGTCATAACGAACTGGAAAATCACCATGCTATGTAGCTGGGAACATCAACTATTTCGATTGGGCCATTTTCAATAGCGAACTGTAACAAATTATATACCAGAGGGTGTATATATATATATGTTATATTAGTACATGTGTCTGGATAACATTAATTGATATCATGTATGTTTTAAGTTTGTCATATATTGAGGACCTTATTCTATCCCATCAAATTTATGCTTTCAATTTGTGTCAACATATGTTTATGGGGCTACTTGTCACCCTTTCTTGGTTGCTCTCAATTAGCCAAATGTATATGTGCAGAAACTTGATGTTTCATTGATGTATTCTTATCCAAGCCATGAACAAACTGATTGGGTTGTACCCCTCAGAAAACCAACATGGAACAGCATATGAGTTTTCAAGTCGATTATAATGCCTTAATTATTTGGGCTTTGTCTGAGAAGAGAGTAGCACAAACTCCAGTGATTAATCATCATTTTCCCACTGAAATGGCTGGGGGCATACCGTACCCTCCGGCTATCAAACATGGCTTGCCGGAAATTCCACCCTTTTAGTTACAGGTCGATGATTACTCAATAAAATCCTTCTTTCGTTCGGGGAGTTTCCCTTGCCATGTTTGTTCTTACACTGGAGAGTAGCCCATTTTCAGACAGACGCAAACATCATATTGCTGATTGTATAGTTATATCATGTTATATCTCATTCATCCCCATGATATATATCCATTGTGTCCCCGCAATCAAACATAGTTTGCTGGAAAATTCATGAAAATTCCATATTTGTAGTTGATTTTCCCAGGACGACAATGTGGCTACGGGGTACATGTTGCTACAGGGGTACAATGCCCAAATCTGTTCATGATTGGGCGATGTTCGGGCATTTCACAATGCCTGTCCAGCAAGTACGTGACGGGATGGGATGCATGGCTTTGTCTAGAAACAGATCAGGATCACCCCCAATTTTTCAGTGGTTTATCATCTCTTTCCCCATAAAATCATATCAAATCGGCCCCAAAAGCACAGCCATATATCCGGCTTGTAGTTTCACAAATCAAAAAATCATATAAATTCTTCATCTCGGCGCAGCTTGTCCCTCAGTGTTTTCGGGTTGAATCCACCTTTTGTTTTCAGGGTGGGATCGAAATGGGATCCTGCCCCATGAAAACATATACATACATAACCATAGATATCATTGGGGAAATGCATTGTTCTGCAAGTTTCTGTTTAGGAATGGCACTTGAATGTCCATACCTATACGCTTCATGGTGCTGATACTGTATATTTTCTAGCATGAATGTATCATGTTTTGGTGTAAATGTTACGTAGTTAAAAAGGGTACATCTACCAGGGCATCATCATGTTCTCTAAAAACATTGCCATTTTGAGGGTTTGTTTAACCCATTTTCAGACACAACCACAAGGGTCAGAATCAAGTCAATGGGCCGTTCCCATAGTTTTTGACCTATACCTTGACCCTCAGTCGACCCGCATAAAAGGGTGAAAGTACAAGAGTTGCGTTCTATGTTTTAATCACCAAAGCTAAATCGAGTGGCTAAGTGCCCATATCACTGGCACCTAAGGAGAATAATTTACCAGTTTCAAAGCCCAAGTCATGGATGTCATCCTTAAGAAAACCCGGTGTTTCCACTGAACTTCTCAGGCACGATACCGTTGTTGAGGACTTCAAAGATGAGTCTCTTGGCACTTTCGATGTCTGATGGTCAAGTCATATGGTTTGTTTTCACGTAGGGACTGGTTATGAAAACCATGTTCACTTTGGTATTTGGTAAGCCATGATTGTTTAGATTCCATTTTTTTGATAGTCCTGATTAGTGGTAATGAGTTTCATATATTCTTAGCAAAGAAATAATGAACTAATTTCCACAATGTTAGCATAAATGGGTGGTATAGTGAAAAACCATCAACATGGCAACGGTTTCTTGTTGCTTTACCAGCATGATTGTATAATACATTTACAGCCTCAATGCATAGATTTGACCCATCAGCTGGGTGTATCTGTTGGAGATGATCTCCCCAAGATTTACCCTCTGGTTATGACTGTTACACTTCGCCATGGGAAATAGCCATGGCCCATAGATTTATAGATGGTGACTACCGTTCTTAATAGCATGGTGGTGATTTTTTAGTTCGCAAACCGTTAGTCATAACCCGATGGTAAGGGCGATGTGAGTGAAAAATGTGGACATAGAAACCCTGAGATATGACCTGGATGAATTATAGACGGTGGAACCCACCATGGGACCCATGGGAATGGAATTGGATGAAAAGTATGATTCAATCATCCAAAAAATCATCCCCAAACGACCGAACTATGTCCACTTTTTTCAGGTCGGATAGATATAAGTCAGTCAGACATAAGAGATGTTGAGTTTGATGGCTTGGGATGAAGCCGCCATGCCCGAAAAAAAAGAGCAACGGCATGACGTAGCAAGTCCAATACGACTCGCTGTTCACTAAGTTCACTAATTTCGGCAGGATGAGCGGAGGGATCCAGAGGGTGTACCCTCTGGTTATGTCAAAATAGCTATGGAAAATCACCATCTTCAATAGGTAAATCAAATATATATATATATATATATGGATGTATATATATATATATGTATGGGCCATTTTCTATAGATATGCTATGTTAGTTTACCAGAGTGTAAATGACAATGTTGGGAATCGGGTAGCCTCTGGTAAACGGGCTAACATAACGAACTGGAAAATCCCATCCCCCCCTGACATCAAAAAAAAGTCCAAAATCCCAAACGAAACCCTGGTGTAGCAGTGGATCTATTCGGTTTTGGGGCCCAGTCATGGGTGCGTTCATATATAATATATATATATATAATTATATATATATATTTTATATTGGCTAATACCAAGCCACATTTCAGAATGATTGAACCAAATTAAAAAATCATTTTGATGTGTAAACCCTTATGGAAGTCTTATGGATTTATATTTAATGCGTCAGGATTCTCTTGAAGATCATGATCCACTAAATTGCTTCGGCCTTCGGCGCCTTTTTCAGTGGCGGAGTAGAGTCAAACTCCGCAGATCTCCAGGTTTCATCGTTTGTGGAAGCTCTTTGCCAAGAAGAGCAAGGGCACTATCGAAGCTCCCGCGGGTTTTTTCAGGAACAAGGTGGGAGAAACGGACCGAGAAACGGTTTTTCCGGAGGTTGCTATTTAGAGTCACCTATAGCGAATCTTGGTGAATCAACGTAGGTCAACCACCCGAGCTAAGTACGAGGCACCACCTTGTATATATATATATAATTATATAAAATAATATATATATATATCCCTACTTTCTTTTATCACCATTATATCACCATTTTATCAATATCTCCATTCTATCCCCGTTAATTATATTCCATTATACAGTTTATTTTTTTTAGATGCTGAATTGGTCATTCAAAATAGCCACGGAACATGGCCACGAATTACCAGAGAGTACATCCTCCATTCAAACCCCATTCATGGATGATTTTTGTATGGAAAACCTCTATTATAATCCATTGTACATCCATTGTAATCCACTATAATCCATATAATCCTTGGTCTATACCCATCAACTATAAATCCAAAGCAAATGCCAAATGCCAGCAAAGTTCCAGAGCTTATTTCATGGGGGTTCCAGACCACGTCCGCAGGTTGCTTGCCTCTTCTTTCCTGTCCCGAATGAGTACAATGCCCTTTCGGCACATTGGGGCGCGGCTCATGCGACCAGGGACGGGGGACATGCACAGATGCGGCCAATTGTACTTACCCTCTGGTAAACGTTTACAGTTAATGGGGTTATTAATGGGATAATTAACAATGGGATAGTGAAAGTAACAGTAATAGTTAATTAATGGGATACTGGGATACCCTCTGGTAAACGTTTATATAGCGAACTGGAAAACCACCATGCTATTAATGGGTAAATGAACTATTTCGACTGGGCCATGTTCAATAGCTATGTAAACGTTTACCAGAGGGTACATGTCAGGTGACACAGATACACGACACGACGGATAGTTGGTTGGGTTGATTGACCGATGGATCGATATGGATAGATAGAAATGGATGGGTACATAGATCGATAGAGCGATAGCTACTTAGATACACATATGACTGGTTGGTGGTTTGGAACATTTTTCATTTTTCCATATATTGGGAATAATCATCCCAAGTGACCAATATTTTTCAGAGGAGTTGAAACCACCAACCAGATGATTATATGGATACCCTCTGGTAATTTTACATAGCGAACTGGAAAATGGCCCAGTCGAAATAGTTGATTTACCCATTAATAGCATGGTGGTTTTCCAGTTCGTTATGTTAGCCCGTTTACCAGAGGCTACCAGAGCATACATTGATAGCTCGATGCATGGATCGATCCATAGATAGATGGATAAACGCATAGATGAAGATAACCCAACAAGAAGATAAGAACACGTAACACGACACAACAATACACCACAAATACAATGCAATGCCGTACACACAGGCACTAGAATGCAATGCAATATAGATACAATCAATGCAATAGATACACTGCGATAAATAGAATAATAGAATATTCAATACCATAAATGCAATACACTCACCACATTGCAATACATCTCATACACAGTTGCAGAAGATAGATAAACTCATTGATAGATAGCTAACCATAGGGATGAATATACCATCCATCTGGTTATTTTACAGTTCGCCATGGAAAGATCCACCATGCTATCAAGAACGGTAAACCATCTATAAATCTATGGGCCATTGCTTAATCATGGCGAACTGTAACAGCCATAACCAGATGGTATCCCATTAATAATCCCATTAACTGTTAGTTTACCAGAGGTAATCCAACCATTAACACTTTTGATCCACTATTAACCATGATTAATCATTATTAACCACTATTATCCACTATTAACCATGATTAATATACCCAATGTTTGCAGAATCTCTTCTGGTGGCGGAATGACCGTGACCAAAAGGCCCCATGAATCCCATGTATTTGAACCATGTCGAACCATTCGCAACCCCTGAGGCCCTGGCCTCTCCCTATGTAAGTAACATACCTAGACCTGAGTTACAAGTACCCTCTGGTTATGACTAACATAGCCATGGTTAAGCCATGGCCCATAGAAATAGATGGTTTACCTATTGATAGCATGGTGATTTTCCATGGCAAACTGCTATTTAAATAACCAGATGGTATCCTGGATGTAACATTCGAAACAATCCAGGATGGTTGAAAGATGATGAACATGACCATTAGAACCATCATGAAATTTACGTGGCTAGTTTCATAATATTTTACCATGGCAATACATTCATATACCATCACAGCAGATTTTGGGGTGAAACTTCCTACGTCAACTATGAAAACCTAAATGAAAGTAGCAATGTATAGATGATTCCCCATTGAAAAACAAATTGAAACCTCCAGTGGGGATGTTCAGTTGCCATGTTTGATCAACACCGGAGAACGGATGCAGTCCTAGCCACATAAATCCTCATCATTTTCTGGAAATCACTGTAAGTAATTATGGTTTCATGTAGTTTCCCATTGAAAACGAACATGGTCAATGGATTTTTCTTCATTGAAATCATGTTTTTTCATGTCTGAATCCACATATTTCAAGTGTTTCAGCTGGCATTCAGAATTTGTTTTATCCTCTTTGGGACAGTTCTTTCTCGAAGATTGACCTGGCTGAGGCAGGGTTGATCAAGCACCAACTGGAATGGGCCAAGCATAGCATTGAGATTGCAGTCCGATACTCAGGTGGTAGACTCGTAGAATTTGCAAGTGGAACCCCCGATCAAACATTGCGGAAACTCTGCGATGTTTCTATGTTCCTTCTGGTGAAAATCTGTAGGTGTGTCCCCAGTCCTTGATCCTGAACTCATGGGATCGGGATTTAGACATCTCTATGTGGCAGCTTTTCCATGGAAAGCATCAAGGGATACAATAATTAGCCTCTGGCTCTTTGTTACATAGCCATGGTATAGATGGCCCATAGAAATAGATGGTTTACCTATTAATAGCATGGTGATTTTCCATGGCTATGTAACAAATAACCAGATGGTACCATAAATCATTTAGGACACCATAGACCATCTTTTTGACCACACCTTGTTTCCTGAGGCAAGCGTACAGTCAAGTCAGCCACGTTCCCCATTGATGTTCAAACTTTAGGAGTTGAAGCCCTTTTGCCCTTTTCGTTGGGGGATTATGTCAGTGCAATGTCCACCCCCAATTTGTCAATCATCGTTGACGAATTGGCGGGTTGTGCCCCCAAAAATCCTAACTTGCTCATGTCGGAAAGCCAACGCCATAAACCTACCATGACTGGGGATGGTTGGATTATCCCACCATATCCCACCCATACAAAATACAAATGCTGATTTTTGGGATGGTTTATGAAACCGGATTTACCACATTACGAACATGACTCAAATGGTCAACCCTAGTGAACCCCAGTTAACCAGCCCAGGATTTGTTTGTTTTGAAGGGGGGGTGCTACATTGCTGCCGGGTTGGGAAGTACAACCCCCCCACAATCATCAACAAACAGATGTTTTGCAGCCACTGCTTGTTTGTCTAAATTCTTTGGAATTTATACAAGCACCTGCATAATAATTTTGTGACATTGTCAGCCAGACAGTTTGTAAGTACCCACCCCCTCAGTTGATACGCATTGGGCAATTTTTGTTCGCATGTTGGGGTACAAAAGCAACCCTTTACGAGGTGCATACTGGGAATTGAACAGTTTGCTATGGAAGCCACGGCCCATTTATAGATCATTCATTGCAAATGGTGATCTTCCTAGCTGTATCTTAGATTTGCCGCAAGGTATTAGCAAGTTGTTTCCTCGGATTCGCATGTAGTCGTGAGGTCTTTACTTTGACCCTGGATTCTCTGGTGGATGTCTTAATCAAGAAGCACAAAGAAGGCGTGCCAACGCACCGTGCATTCGGGCTGCGTGAGAGTCTGATGATGTGAGTTTGGGGATCCCGAAAATCATCCGAAGGTTACCCTCTGTTTGTTTCAGCTATGGAAAATGAGTCCATGAATAAATGGGCCATATTACCGGAGGCTATCAATAAGCAAACCAATGGTTTTTGGGGTGAGGTATTCCCTTCTGACACCTCGAAGCGTGCCGTCTTTTGGCGTTGCAAAGCGGGCCTGCTTGAGGTGTTGAAGGATTCCTCCAAGCATTCCAACCAATCCACATCTGGTGACGTGAGATCCCATTACTAATCATTAGAGCAAAGACTCTTCTTGAACACCTGGATTTTTCATGATTTTTCTTGGTCCAACAGGTCCAACAGGTCCGGGCCGATCTGTTGATCTTTTCCACTTGGAGAGGGAGTTGGGGAACCTGCAGGAATTCGCGTCCGAGTTATCACGGACAATCGCCAGGTGGCTGGAACTGGTGTGCTGTGGGATCCAAGATGAATGGATGAAGCCAGTAACATCCAGTAACTAGTTGTAATATGTTGTAACTGATTACGGAGGCATCGGAGTCAATAAGCCAGCTCATCACATTAATATTTTTTTTGTGACCCATTTTGAATCGCAAAAATAGTCAGAAAAACATCATGTTGGGTCATAATTAATATTAATTAATGACATTAATATGAACCCCAGAAAGGGAGTGAACAACATCAGGTGAAAAAAAAACGGCCGAAACTGGAAAGGTTGGCCTTTTAGGACCCCAAAGGAGCAGCCTCACTGGATCCCATACTTGGTTGTTCTACTGCAATCAAAATGGTGTGTAAATGATGTGCTTAAGTTGGAACAATGTTTCAAGATTCACATAGGTTCACAGTTTATTGACAACTGAATACAATTGAAACAATTGTGAAATTGCAGGTGCATGCTGTAAACTGTAGGTGATTTCAAGAGCATTTCGGTTTATCACACCATACATACGTTGCCCGCATCGGTTGATTATAAAACGATCAGCTCTACCACAAGAGATTTACACTACTGGTACGGACCCAAACGTAAGAGTGCCCTAACAAGTGTTTCTCAAAATTTGGTTTTCTCTTAAATCATTGGTGTTTGGTTTTTTTTGATCCCATTAAAAGCTCATGAAATTGCCTACGGATTCCGGATCCAGCCCTACCGTACCTGAGGAAGTATGACTTCCGGTGTTATCAACGTCAGCTGGCTGGAAAATCAGCAAAAGTTCGATGATTTTCCCCCAACAAAAACCTCCATTTCGTCCGGGAAGTTCCCATATCCTATGATTTTTAGCTCTCAACCTACTCAACCTCCATTTCTTGTAGATTTTCCCAAATGTTCCGATATGATTTTCCCATTAAAAACCCTCCATTTACAACGGATTTCCCCAGAAAATCTGGACGTCATCCCTGGTGACATCGCAAGGCGGGGGTCCCTGGAGCGGATGCCGCACGCCTACGCGAAGCCGGTGTGGAGGTTCGCGTCGACAGGTGGGCTCCGTTCAGAATGTCTGTCTCGGTGCTCGGTGCGGTTTGTTGTTGGATGGTCGCAATGGGTTTTTACAAGTATTGTACAAGGTCATGTATGTATATATATATATATATAGAGGTACATGTATATAATGTGTATATACATATTATATGTATACTGTTACATAATGACTTGGTATCAAACTATGCATACGGTTTGTGGGATATATTGCAGACAATATTCTACAATTATATACTGGTTGATTGGTTCGTGTAGGGCTTATACTTCCTGATTTATTGGGGATCATGATAAGGGATGATAAGGGTTAGTTTGTGTGATAACAAATATATATATATATATACATGCAATGCAAATCAATGTAATGCAATGAAATGTAATGTACTGCAATCGTAGTGGAATGTACTGCATTGCAATAATATGCAATGTGATGTTATGTAACGCAATGTAATATAATGCAATGCAATGTAATGTAATAGTGTGTACAAGTGCATGAATACATAGAAAGTCATACTGCATTTAAAATGAAATGATCTCGAATGTGCATGATGATCTATCTACATATAATTATATGTATACATTGGTGTGTCGATGAATACAAAATTAATTGTGTTATGTGAATTTCTGATTAGAGGGGCTAACTTATGGATTTATTTATTAGATTGCACCAACACATGAGTTTCGGGTTTATGCGCGTCCCCAGATATGTTTGGGGGATTCAGCATGTTCAACAGTGCTTTTGTTTGTGGCTAACGAGTGCTACGTCATTGCACAATGTGTTTCTGACATAAAACAAAGTGCCATGTTCCCGTGTGTTTTCAGAAGGGACTTTAAAACATTGTTTTTGTTTCTGAGGGTAAAGCCCTGCTCTCTCTCTCTCTCTCTCTCTCTTAGCATGCCAATAGTGGGTACATCAAGTGGCGAGCAACGAGGTTACAGTACTGGAAATGATGGTCAGCGGGGAGGAAGAGGGCATACTGATGACCATATAACAGCCCAGTTGGATTTAGATACCATCACAACATTTACAATGGGTGATAACAGTGAAAACCATCATATCCCAGTTCGCAAATGGGTGTTAACATAACGAAGTTGTTAACCTGGGTTATTCGGTCCCGCATCCCTTGCGTTTTTTTTGGCCCGCGTGCTACGCAGGTCCTGGTACGCCATGCATCACAAATTTGCCGCTCGGTCTTAGTTCGGTGATGGGTGCGCAGCTGTTCTATCCTACTAGCAACCAAAGAGTGCAGTGTTCTCCTAGACGATCTCATTTCAAGGATAGATATGACAGCCTGCCGAGTTTCATGATGTCCGTGTTCTCTCCTTCTGTATCTCTGTTCAAGAGCCGCAAATCCAGAGCCGTGTCTTGAACAAACATGTTTTTCAGAGGATTGTGAGATAGAACCAGCAAAAGAAGGCAGTAAGAAGTTCAATATTTCACATACTGTTGATGCTCACTTGTAACCCAACATGTCGCACAGATCAGTGATCTCTGCCAGGGTTGAGCCGTAAAATTATCCCTCGGCAAAATGACCGATACTTTTTCCCACACATTGCCACTCGTGTTCCGTATGTGTCCTGCCGATTCCTGCCACAAAACGGCCAGAGATTTCACAATCTTTTGGTCGGTAACGCAGGCGATCATCGATCAGAATTCCTTGATCAATGGCTCTTTCAATTGGACCGCACAGGCGGGGGAAGCCTGGGAAGGACAACAGCGACTTGACCCAGTGGCTGGCGATAAAAGAGATATATATATATATATAGTATACCTCAAATGTTCATAGATATCGTTGGTATATAAAATTATCTGGTTGGTTGTTTGGAACATTTGGATTATTTTTCCATATATTGGGAATGTCATCATCCCAACTGACTTTCACTCATATTTTTCAGGGGGGTAGGTCAACCACCAAGCAGTTATAAAGATATACCTCAAATCGAGTTTCTCCAGATTTCCCAGGTTTGGAGTTTCATCATTGACCTGAAGCTGAGCAATGATGGCATTCTGAATTCTGGGTAAACCATGTTTTTTTTGTTTGTAAGCCATGTTTCTTTTTTTGACTGCCATACGGTATATATATATACAGTATATATACAGTATATACGTATATACAGTATATATATATATATATGTATACACATAGTTTATTATATATATATATATTTATATATATGTACATAATGTAGAGATCTATAATGATCTGCATGTAGATCATCCCCATAAGTTCTGGATGTGGGACTCTTTTTTCAGGTTCCATGGATCCACTGGGCTGATCCAAGGCCACCAAAGGCAATCAAGAGGATGCGGTGATCTATGGCCACTCGTTTTTGAAAAAAAGACACGGGCGTCAGATATCGATTGATTGAAGAATTCTGTAGATATGCATGATGAAATTGGTGATGTTTAGACAAAGACATGTTACGGCAAGAAGGTATATATATATGATTACGAATTATGATTCTCTATGCATTTCTTGCATTTAGATTACAACTCATCAAAAAGGATTTTTTTGTCAAATACGTAGACTTATGAACAATTAGGGTACAGGCCAAGATTTGATGGTTTCCCATTATATATATATACAGTAATTATATATTTAAGATATTTTAAGATCAAAATTGCATTTTTTCTGGGCATCCACCATTTTCAGACACTCAAATGCTATACTTTGTGTATACCAAAACCAGTGGTTCTCTCCAAAGGACATCACAGGTGGCTCATGCAGGTGGCCGCAAATCAACCACAGATGCTGCAGGACTGGTGGGTTGGTTCAAATATGTATTTGGGTAAATTTCATCACGACCTCACTGTTCTCCCTCACTGGGAATAATGGTTAGTAAGGGATATCATCCCCAAATGGCCGAACTATTCAGGTTAGTGAATTACTATGATTTACCCAGATATATGTTCAAAGGAAGTTTAGGGGGAGAAACTTCCGTGTTACGGACTTTTAGAATGTCAGGGAAAGAGGTAGTCAAAGAAAGAGTTAGCAAAGAAAGAGTTCGTCAGGGAAAGAGTTAGTCAAAGAAAGAGTTAGTCAAAGAAACAGTTAGCAAAGAAAGAGTTCGTCAGGGAAAGAGTTAGTCAAAGAAAGAGTTAGTCCAAGAAACAGTTAGTCAAAGAAAGAGTTAGCAAAGAAACAGTTAGTCAGGGAAAGAGTTAGTCAAAGAAAGAGTTAGTGAGGGAAAGAGTTAGTCAAAGAAAGAGTTAGCAAAGAAACAGTTAGTCAAGGAAAGAGTTAGTCAAAGAAAGAGTTAGTGAGGGAAAGAGTTAGTCAAAGAAAGAGATAGTGAGGGAAAGAGTTAGTCAAAGAAAGAGTTAGCAAAGAAACAGTTAGTGAGGGAAAGAGTTAGTCAAAGAAAGAGTTAGTCAAAGAAACAGTTTGTCAGGGAAAGAGTTAGTCAAAGAAAGAGTTAGTGAGGGAAAGAGTTAGTCAAAGAAAGAGTTAGCAAAGAAACAGTTAGTCAGGAAAAGAGTTAGTCAAAGAAAGAGTTAGTGAGGGAAAGAGTTAGTCAAAGAAAGAGTTAGTGAGGGAAAGAGTTAGTCAAAGAAAGAGTTAGCAAAGAAAGAGTTTGTCAGGGAAAGAGTTCGTCAAAGAAAGAGTTAGTCAAAGAAACAGTTAGTCAGGGAAAGAGTCAGTCAAAGAAAGAGTTAGTCAAAGAAACAGTTAGTCAGGGAAAGAGTTAGCAAAGAAACAGTTAGTCAGGGAAAGAGTTAGTCAAAGAAAGAGTTAGTCAGGATATATGAGGTAGTCAAAGAAAGAGTTAGCAAAGAAAGAGTTAGTCAAAGAAAGAGCAAAGAAAGAGTTAGCAAAGAAAGAGTTCGTTAGGGAACGAGTTAGTCAAAGAAATTGTTCCCGCAATGTAAATGGGATTGCACGTGGTGCTGGTGGATGAGTTGCCGATGGAGTTTTGGAGGAAGTCTCGCACGAAATGCGTTTTTGAGAGATAGCAGATGCACGAAAGCCTATGTTTTTCCATACAAAGTCCGTCCCCGAACCTCGATGATCTACCTCTGCGGTGCGACGGTTGCGAGACGGTCTCGTGTGTGGTCGGATCATGGTCGGATATGCTCGGATCATTCTCGGATCGGTTCCGCATTGTACATGGGGTGTCACCTGTTTTTCGTGCATGTGCGGTCGACAGAATTCCATTGTGATTTGCAACTGTAGGATCGTTCCCACAATGTAGATGGGATTGCAAGTGGTGCTGGTGGATGAGTTGCTGATGGAATTCCATTGTGATTTGCAACTCTAGGATCGTTCCCTCACTGTAAATGGGATTGCAAGTGGTGCTGGTGCAGGGGTTGCCGATGGAGTTTTGGAGGAAGTCTCGCACGAAATGCGTTTTTGAGAGATAGCAGATGCACGAAACCCTGTGTTTTTCCATACAAAGTCCGTCCCCGAACTTCGATGATCTACCTCTGCGGTGCGACGGTTGCGAGACGGTCTCGTGTGTGGTCGGATCATGGTCGGATATGCTCGGATCATTCTCGGATCGGTTCCGCATTGTAAATGGGGTGTCACCTGTGTTTCGTGCATTTGTTGTCGACAGAATTCCATTGTGATTTGCAACTGTAGGATCGTTCCCGCAATGTAAATGGGATTGCAAGTGGTGCTGGTGGATGAGTTGCCGATGGAATTCCATTGTGATTTGCAACTCTAGGATCGTTCCCTCACTGTAAATGGGATTGCAAGTGGTGCTGGTGCAGGAGTTGCCGATGGAGTTTTGAAGGAAGTCTCGCACGAAATGCGTTTTTGAGAGATAGCAGATGCACGAAACCTTATGTTTTTCCACACAAAGTCCGTCCCCGAACCTCGATGATCTACCTCTGCGGTGCGACGGTTGCGAGACGGTCTCGTGTGTGGTCGGATCATGCTCGGATTATGTTCGGATCGGTTCCGCATTGTAAATGGGGTTTCACCTGTGTTTCGTGCATTTGCGGTCGACAGAATTCCATTGTGATTTGCAACTGTAGGATCGTTCCCGCAATGTAAATGGGATTGCAAGTGGTGCTGGTGGATGAGTTGCCGATGGAATTCCATTGTGATTTGCAACTCTAGGATCGTTCCCTCACTGTAAATGGGATTGCAAGTGGTGCTGGTGGAGGAGTTGCCGATGGAGTTTTGGAGGAAGTCTCGCACGAAATGCGTTTTGGAGAGATAGCAGATGCACGAAAGCCTATGTTTTTCCATACAAAGTCCGTCCCCGAACCTCGATGATCTACCTCTGCGGTGCGACGGGTGCGAGACGGTCTCGTGTGTGGTCGGATCATGGTCGGATCGGTCTCGGATCATGGTCGGATCATGCTCGGATCGGTTCCGCATTGTAAATGGGGTTTCAACTGTTTTTCGTGCATGTGCGGTCGACAGAATTCCATTGTGATTTGCAACTGTAGGATCGTTCCCGCAATGTAGATGGGATTGCAAGTGGTGCTGGTGGATGAGTTGCAGATGGAATTCCATTGTGATTTGCAACTGTAGGATCGTTCCCGCAATGCAAATGGCATTGCAAGTGGTGCTGGTGGAGGAGTTGCCGATGGAATTCCATTGTGCTTTGCAACTGTAGGATCGTTCCCGCAATGTCTAGAAGGTTTCACATGCTTCAGTGGACGAGCTGAGGACGTAATACCATTGTGTTTTGCTAGGGATTGTTGCAGGATTCTTTCAGATTTTGCCTGCTTTCATTTTCTATTTCAATTCTTTATAAAAAACGATTCAAAAATCAACTTTTTCTGCTCTGGCGTCGAGATCCGGTTTTGGAGCTACAATTTCCGACGCCGTTGCGCGTAGTTCTATTGTGTTTTGCAACTCAGTCTCTGCAGATCGCATTGTAATGGCTGCGTCAAGGTTGCTGCGTGCTGTGGCTGCATTCGTAATACTATTGTCTTTTGCAGCTGGATCTCGTAAATCGTATTGGAGTGGCTGCATGAAGGCTGCGACATTGATTTGTCAGCAGATTTTCTCCATTTTGGCGCTAGTGATTTTCCTTCTAAAAATCCTTTTAAAAAGTGCTTCAAAATCGTCTTTTTTTCGCTCTGGCGTCGAGATCCGGTTTTGGAGCTACAATTTCCGACGCCGTTGCGCGTAGGTCTATTGTGTTTTGCAACTCTGTCTCTGCAGATCGCATTGTAATGGCTGTGTCAAGGTTGCTTCGTGCTGTGGCTGCATTGGTAATACTATTGTCTTTTGCAGCTGGACTTCGTAAATCGTATTGGAGTGGCTGCATGAAGGCTGCGACAGTGATTTGTCAGCAGATTTTCTCCATTTTGGCACTAGTGATTTTCCTTCTAAAAATCCTTTTAAAAAGTGTTTCAAAATCGTCTTTTTTTTGCTCTGGCGTCGAGATCCGGTTTTGGAGCTACAATTTCCGACGCCGTTGCGCGTAGTTCTATTGTGTTTTGCAGCTCAGTCTCTGCAGATCGCATTGTAATGGCTGCGTCAAGGTTGCTTCGTGCTGTGGCTGCATTCGTAATACTATTGTCTTTTGCAGCTGGATCTCGGAAATCGTCTTGGAGTGGCTGCATGAAAGCTGCGACCTGGATTTGTTAGCAGATTTTCTCCATTTTGGCACTAGTGTTTTTTTGTTGCACGTAGGTTTAGACCAGTGTGAAGTGTGGGGCGTGAAGAGTGCAGTGTGAAGTGTGAAGTGTGCAGGAAGCAGTGGGAAGTGAGAAGTGAGAAGTGTGGAGTGTGAAGTGTGGAGTGTGAAGTTTCAGTTTGGAGTGCGAAGAGCGCAGTGTGAAGTGTGAAGTGTGAAGTGTGAGGTTTGGAGTGTGAAGGAAGCAGTGAGAAGTGTGAAGTGTGAAGTCTGAAGTGTGAGTGAAGTGTGGAGTGTGAAGTGCGAAGTGAGAAGTGTGAAGTGTGAAGTTTGGAGTGTGAAGTTTGGAGTGGGAAGGAAGCAGTGAGAAGTGAGAAGTGTGAAGTGAGAAGTGTGAAGTGTGGACTGTGCAGTGTGGAGTGCGAAGAGCGCAGTGTGAAGTGTGAAGTGTGAAGTGTGAGGTTTGGAGTGTGAAGGAAGCAGTGAGAAGTGTGAAGTGTGGACTGTGAAGTGTGAAGTGTGGAGTGTGAAGTTTAAGTTTGGAGTGCGAAGAGCGCAGTGTGAAGTGTGAAGTGTGAAGTGTGAGGTTTGGAGTGTGAAGCAAGCAGTGAGAAGTGTGAAGTGTGGAGTGTGAAGTGTGAAGTGTGGAGTGTGAAGTTTAAGTTTGGAGTGCGAAGAGCGCAGTGTGAAGTGTGAAGTGTGAAGTGTGAGGTTTGGAGTGTAAAGGAAGCAGTGAGAAGTGAGAAGTGTGGAGTGTGAAGTGTGAAGTGTGGAGTG